CAAACTTTCTGATTAAACCAGACAATGCTTTTAATGTTATCAAACAATAATAGCGTATCATTTAAATAAATGCCTTCAGTTATAATTATAAATCTGCCAACACATGAGATTGAAAAAAAGTTGTCTGTCAAGGCCATGCTCCGAAGCAGAAACGGTTGTGAACCGAGGTTTGACGTTTTAATAAAAATGTTGAATAACTATAACAATCAGCCAAGAACACACATCTTAATGTCTCTACAAACTTGGGCTCGATCAGAGAAAATGAAGGAGTCACAGAGTTGGCGCAGAGTTGGTGCAGCAACTAGAACTTCTCTCCCACTTATGTGCAGCTGCTGTTCTGATAATGAAGTGATTCTCCTGACCCATTGCCATCTTGTTTTTATTGTTTCTCTTAGACAGACCCTGGCTCACAGATGTTCAGAAGGTACAGAAGCTGCAGGACAAAGTCTATGTAGCGCTGCAGCACTGTCTACAGAAACAGGGGGCGCTGGACGAGAAGCTAACTAAGGTAAAGAGTCCTCCAACTACCTCCATGTGGACATATTTGTCGGTACCCCTTTGTTGATGAAGGAAAAACCAACAATGGTCACCGAAATAACATGAAAGTGACAAAAGTAAAAATAGATTACAAAAGAAATACGAATTATGCTAATTATATACTAATAAATTAATAAAACTGGCTAGGACAAAACTGATGCTACACCTAGAAAAGATGAAAAATGTGACCATAGCAACATGTTAAACTAATGTGTAAATTACAGCTACTATTATTAATCAATGCATTGTTGTTGTTGTTGTTGTTTTTTAGATGGTGTCCAAGCTTCCCATAATGAAGTCCATCTGCAACCTTCATATGGACAAGCTGGAGTTTTTCCGCCTGCTCCACCCGGAGACTGCCTACACGTTTCCTGCTCTGTACAGAGAGGTTTTCAGCAGTGAAATGACCTTTCCAGATTCCACTGAGGGGTAGAGCTGGTTAGTTCAGTTCCGTTTGATTTATTCAGAAACTCTAAATGTTTGCAAGGGGGAGAGATGAGCTCCAACCAGCTGAAGGAAACTCACCAGCAGCAGCTCAATGACAATCATGCGTGCCACACGTCAGGACACGCTCCTCTCTTACTCTTAACTCCCTCTTGTGTGATGGAGTGTCCACTGCCCCCGTGAGGCGGGATCCCTCACTACAAATGAAACAACACTACAGGAAGTTATGCTGGGTACTCGGTGAAGGTTACCTCCTTTTAAGATGGTAATTTTTCATTGGTACATAGTTGTTTTCTTTTTGTTTTCTTTTTTTTTCTATATGGAGACCTTAAACCTGGCATCCTAAATTCATATTTAATATAAATCTGACTTTTATCTCAGCTCCGGTAAGCTATTATTGAATGTATCCTCTTTTCCCTTTACCATTCAGCACAACACTTGGCTGGAGATGGAATGTACATACGAAAGAATCACTCACTCGTTCTGTAGCAGTTGGCTTTATGTTAGTTTCCTTCTTCAGTGGTGCCCATGGTGTGCAGTTTTAAAACGTGAACAAACTTCTTTTTTTTTAAAGGGACCATGATCAAACTCACACACCAGCAGATTCTTTAAAGGATTTAAACCGAGTGTCAAGTCAAACGCTTGCGATGGTCTGTAGGTATGTTTAACAAGCACATTCTCAGACAATAATGTGAACCCGTTCGTCTTTTAATACAATCAAAGACCTCAGTCATCATTCCCTTTTCCTGAGTAAATGCCACTTATGCCGTTTTCACGTGTAACGGGGCTCAACACTGACTTTTAATACGGGATTCGCTACGCGCTCGATACCTGTTTTTGTAAAAATGCCGGTTAAAAAAAAATGAAGCGAAACCCGTAGTAGTTTTAATGGCAGTGTGAACACGATCAGACTTTTAATTGTTTTTTATAACTATAAATAACCCCATTATGTTCACATTATCTGAGAAGTTAGTGGTTAGTGGGAAGGCAATGTTGCCTTAGGTTTTTGAGTGACTTTTTTGGGGTCTACAGGATGGAAAATTGGTCAAACCTTTTTTTTTAAATCTGGTATTACGGATTATAGCACTTAAGAGTTGTCCACTGATGTATAGTTATCCTAAAAGTACTTAAAGCACAAGATGTTTAAGGTCCACGCTCAGGCTTCCATCAGCCAGATTTGCTAGGTAACGGCCATTATTGAAAAGAGTTGTGAGCATTCAAAAACTGTGGGGTCACATATGCAAGAGATTCATCTAACCATCAGTACAAGGAGTCAGTTGACAAAAAGAATTGAATTTAAAATTGACTTTTTATGTACATTATAATTGGCTCTCCAGAAACCATTTCCAGGAGTGTGTGTGTGTGTGTGTGTGTGTCTCACTCCTGGCTCTCTGTGCCTCAGTGTTAAGAAGGATGTGTTGCTGCAAGCTGCTACCATGTTGTTTGCAGAAAAAAAACAATCAACTTCTGTGCTTTATTCCCACACCCGAACTACCTCATCTACTACTACACAGCACACGAAAGGGCCAACAGTAACCCCCCCGAATTAGTTTTTTTTTTTTCTGTAAACAATTAAAACCAAATCCAGATTCAGGATACCCACACAGATGCTGACAGTTACCCTTCAAATACAGTATACCTAACAAACTCTTAAAATCTATATTTGAATACATTCTGACAATCACCATAACAGTTTTACTCATCCAAGGTTTATTCTATATTTCAACCATCTCGCCTTGCATTAAAGGGTCACTACTCCTTTTCCCCCGGTACATAACTCAAAGGCTTGGTGGAAATGTGCAATATTGTCATTCCTGTTGCTCCAAGTTTTTCTTGTTTTTTTGTTTTTGTTTTTTTTTAAGGTAATTATCATCCCCTCTATTCACAAGCACTCCTTTACGATCAACACTGCAGCACAGAAGAATGATGTTTTAAGAATGTAATTGTACCAAAAATACACAGCCATCTACGATGACACTTGATACGGTGCAACACTTGGTGTGTTCAGAGGGCAATGAAGGATATCAGCACCTACTTTCCTTTTAGAGTTACTCAGGGAGAAAGCTAGGCTCTCTGTCCTTCGGTGTCTGCAGTCGGTCTAGCAAGCAGGACAACTCACACTATACTAAGAAAAAAAAAAAAAACCTTGAACACTGTGTACAGCAAAAGTTGTCATGAATGTTTGATTGCAGAAGAATGAAAGACTTCCGCATAAATATATATATATGTATATAATCCCCACAAAATGTGTTGGTTTTTAATTTAATCTTTGTATGTGTTGTCTGTTATATTTTCCCTATTGTTGTTGTGACATCGTCCTGAAGATGTAATTATATTTTTTAAGAGCATTTTACGATGTCTCTCTAAAATGTTTTCTCTCGTCTTGGTCCTTCTGTTAATGTTTTTATTCTGTTTAAACATTATTGATATTATTATATTATGTTATTATTATGAAATCAATATAGATTTTAAGAAGATATAATTTATATGTCACGGACATAAAACCAGAGGGTTTTATTACTGTCAAGTGTTATTGCACAATGGTGAAACAAAATGTGGATTTAAGAATGTAATAAAAGTCTTTTTACAACTAAATCAGTGAAAATGTGAGGCTCATTTATTGCATAATATGCTCTAAACACGTAACAGCAAACAAAACAAAAAGGAGAAACACAGTTAAGACTATATTAGATGGATGAAGAACAGCTGTACTACCGTGTTAGTTACTTCAATATCACACTTTCATGCCAACACTAGACAAAGAGTGAACTAGAACTGGATTTATGTTATATTAATAAATCACTTTGGTTCAAATAAATCACTGAATGGTTTGCGAAAAAACTAAATTAATATGATAGTTGAAGTACAAATTCTCTGAATAAAAAAAATGGGTCCACACAATACGGATGTGTGTACCTGATTCATCCAGCAGGTGGGGGTGTTTGTTAATATAAAAGTCTGACATGTAATCTCAGAAAAACTTAATTTCTCTTCAGAGGGTCTGCAGAATTTTTTGGTGCTTGTTCACATTTTCACATTGCACTTTTTGTCGCAAAAAAGAAAACATTTTTGGAAGGGGGGATTTTTTTTTCTCTGGTTGCTGACAGACAGAGACAGACAGAGAGTAGGAGAGATTCACCCTCGACGTGGACGTGGTCAGTTGGCGTGTCCCCTGCGCTCGGAGCGGCGGCTGTACAGTCCTATGATTCCTGCTAAACATTTCTGCAGTTTACCCCTTTTTTAAACAACTTCACCGTCTACTTTTGTGGTGCTGTCCATTTTTTTCGTCTGCGTTGGAAGACAGCGGTAGTCGAGGATGTCGGTAGCAGGCCTGAAGAAGCAGTTTTACAAAGCTAGTCAGGTTTGTCAAACTTTTCCTCTGAGCTAACAACTGTTTCTGCACCGTTAGCAGCAAGCTAGCACTGAGAGCTAACGGTTTACAGCTAATATATTTACAGCCTGTATTCACGTAAATGTTAATACGTGTTTGGCAGCGGACTGGTTTTATAAATCCACTGTTCCTTCGTAATATGTCATTGCTATTTTTGCTGCGGGTTTATCGTTTCCCCTTTACAATCAGCGTATAAAGTTGTGTGTTATGTACGTGTTTTGCCATGGTAATGATTATTGAGCAACCCTCAATTGAAGTGTAGTATTCTAACATAAACAGACGTCTTCTTCTATGCTCGCGCCTTATTTTTTTAGACATTTTGGGAAGCACATACAGATTTAATAAGTCCACATCCTGTAGTAAACAATACTTTGCCCCAGGGACTCTCTCCTGGTGAGTCACTTCAACCCCGAGACAGTCGTAGCTCATAGGTAAATACGTGGTTGGTAGGTTCGTGATGGTCATTAATATCAGCATGACAGCACTGCTTTCTGCTACAAACATGTCTACCTGTGTTTGTGTGTAATGGTCTTTATCTGGTTAAGTAAGTCATATGAATAGATAGTCAATGTTAAAAGCAGTTCTGGCGAGGACAAGACCACATTTATGTTAGAAAAGCTTGTCATGGCTGAATAGTTAAGGGGGAAAAGGATGTATTTGTATTATTTTTGCCACCATACTTTGATTTGCAAAATAATGCAGCTTCATTCAGCATTCAGTATGAGCTCATTTGTGGTGTAGTATAATGTCTTGGCTTCGCGAAATCAATTATGGTAAATGCAAGGACAAAAAGAATTGCAGTTCATATACCTTAATTCAAATTTATGTCGTGGAACCTGTCCAAAAGAGAAGTACTTCCCAGAATGGTTACAGAAACTTATCTAATCTAAAGTAGGGAACAAAGCCAGTTAATTAAATAGTAGAATTTTTAATTATAATTAATTATGACATTTTACTTCACCCATTTAAATTTTCTAATTGCATTGTAATGTAATGCT